TTGTGAAATGCGGAAATTAATTATTGTTGATTCACAGAGAAATTATTGTTGGGAACAATTGCAATGTTGAAATGAGTTGTTCCTGGCATATTTCACTGTTCATATACCTTCTGTGGACAGTACCGGAAAGTAGATAATAGGTAACCCGGGGTCAGACATGTCGTGTTGGGAAGGAGGACCGAATAAGGATAAGGAATCTCATAATGATTTATAGCAACAGAAGGAAATTAAATTTGACAAATTGCGAAATGCACTCTCAGTGATACAAATCTCAATTGATGTGAATAATTTAATATCACACGTTTTCGGATTTCCCGACAGAGAAGTGAATAACTTGTACGAGGAAATCAGCAGGTGCTTAATAAAAAAGTAGATCAACTAGATCGAGAATAGATGGACGACAAGGTCGATGTCTCAACAACAGGGAGAAGCTACAATAGTAATAGATGGATGGTCAATATCTTAATGCTATTTATTCATCAATCAATAATTCAAATGAGTTGATTCAGAATACTTTGTACATAATACAAAAATGCAATCAGTATTTGGTTTTCTATATTTTTTGCATTATGTCTTTTAATTAAAATTTTCAGATAATTAACAATTAGTTATTAATTTGATCTTTTCAGACACAATTTAGTTTTCTTAAAAACAGAAAAAGAAAAAAGGGATGCCACTTGAAGGTTTCGAATTATGCAGCAAAATAATGCAAATGAGAATGAAACAATTAATTTAAACAGTAATAATGGAAAGAGAGAGAGAAAAAGAAAAAGAGTGGAAGGAGGAAAAATGACACAAAAGGAATAGAATAATCGGTTTCATTAGCAAATAAATACAAACGGTTGGTAATATTCGTTTCACTGTCAAAGACAGAAAAATTATATATTTTGTAAAATTAACACTAAATACAGTTGATCAAGATAGTTCAAGCAACTTTAGGAGGTTTTCTTGCAGGTTATCGAGACTTGTTGGTATACTTCGAGACTCTTTGTTGATGTGATAGTTCAGAAGAATGGTGACGGTATGGTATAATATATGGAGACAATTTTCATTGGTGACAAGAAATAAAGGCTGAAAGAGCCGTTTTATATACTTTGACCTCTCCATGTCTAAATGTGTTATGGAGTGGGAGTGGTTTACGACAAACTTTTTCATAAAATCCCATTGGATGCGAGGACGTGCAAAAGGCTGTGTAAAGGAAGGTCTGAGCGGGATTGGATTAGTTATCAGACCTGAAACATTTGCACATAATTGATTCCCGCTAATTTAATTATTAAATACAAGCATGGTAATCAAGAAAAAAATTAGCTAAATGATTCATTATTAGGTTGGATATTGTAGCATTCATTATTTATGCGATGAATCATTTAAGTGAGAAATATTTCAATACAACACAATTATTTTGACATATTTATATAAATTATTCCCATCTCCGACACAAATATCACTCCTCTCTTCCAGATAAATGTGATTAAATGTAACTAACATTGTATGTGCAGAAATGTATAATACAAAAATGAAAGATGATAATTGAAAAGGAGAGAGAGAGAGAGAAAGAGAAAATGATTTGATAAATAAGCAATTTATGTCTTTTTATATAACTTTCGCACAATCTGATAATACTGTAGTTGTTGAAGGCAAACGAATTGAATATATGAAATTTTGATAGAGCTTTTCATAGTTGTTACACAATTCCAATAATTACTGGAGAAATTAATTTTGATAATTACCATAATGTGGCATGAAAATGGTACGAAAAAATGAGAAGAGTGAAAAATTACTATTGCAGAAAAATTGAAAAAAAAAATTGTTACTTTTCAAATTCATTATCCTTTTTTGAAATATTTTTCTCTTTCCTTTTTAACTCAAATAAAAAAATAATAAAATTTATAAAATTTTTACAATATTCTGTAAAAATAAAGAAATTTTGCAATATTGCCTTTATTTTCCTTTTTTATTTGGAGGAAATATATTAGTGGTTGAAATGATAAAATGAACTGTTAATTAAATAAGGTATAGCATTAAACGGTTGCATTTACCATTTCTATTTCATTTTCTATATGTTGGAAAAGATGAAGTTTATTTATGAGATGAAAATCAGAAAGTTTATTGTTTACAATATTCCACCCAACTCGGTTTGTAACATTAGTGGCATTTACATATTCAAATCTCGTTAAATTAATTTCTCAGAGAGATGTTCCTGCTTTACTAAAACTGCTACCATTTTACTCACCTAACCAAAAGTTTATTTTTTGCAATGCCTTAACAGTATGTCATTTCTTCTGTCCTTCACTCCGACCTTATCCTTGTTGTAGGTGATTTTGTTTTCCTTAATCAAATCACTTAATGATTACTTTATTTATTTGTCCGTTTAACCCTATCACTTTTAATGTTCACACAAATTACAAGTAATGTCATTTGTGTTAGAATCAAATCTATACAGTTTACTATTACATTACAAATGTTTTGACTTTTTTCAATATTGTTTTTTTAAAATAAATTGATTTGTACATTTGGATGTTCACATATGGGTAAGATAAAAAATTTATTACTTCTTAAATTTTATTAAACCACCAAAATGAAAAATGAATTTAATGACAAGAAAAGTTTGTTCTGTTCATAGATGTAATTGGAATTGACCGAATTTTTTAAAAACTAAGTGAAATTCACATATCATCACAACAGTATTTTTTAATCGTATATTTTGCTATTTCATCTGTTTCAAAATTATTACATTTTCCATTTCATTATTACTTTTTCTTATTTAACACTACAGATAAGTAGAACAATTACATGTTAGCATTACCGAATGATCATACTAATGATCATATATGGTCACTTTGCTTAAACATGAGAATGTTTCTCAACCTGGAATCGGATAAAATTTATTTATTTAATTTTTACTATTCACTTTACATTTTTTTCAATGCATCATTAATTCTCTGCCATTAAAGTTTTATGATTGAAAATAAGATAATTACTGTAACGAGTAAATTAGTAGCATTATCTTTATTTTGTAATTTTGAATTAATCCATAATCGACAGAATACCCCGTAATAAATTAGTAAATTCAAAGTCGATCATATGCTTGTCCTTTTTCGATGTTTCATATCGTACATTGAACAAAGAAAATAGTTATTCATATCTCATCGTGTTGCATGCAAAAATTTTTGATAATTGCACTATGTGACAAACACATGCACATTCATACACGCACACGCATGCACACACGTGTGCACACACACGTGTACATATACGCATGTACGTGTATGTGTATGTGCGTGTATGCACGCACACATACGCATGCACACACACGTATGCACACACATACGTGCATTCACATACGTATGCACACACACACGTGCGCATATACATACACACACGCAGACGTGCACACACATACACATGAATACACACACACGTGCACACACACGCACACATTCATATGCACACACATTCAAATGCACACACATTCATACACACACGCACATATACACATGCACACACATACATACGTGCACGGACAGACGGACAGACAGACGGATAGACAGACATACCTAAGCACTGCTCATCGCAAATTAATCTGTCGATGTGCGAAAAAATCTGGTCATTAGTCATTCATTTATCCTTATCATTTTGCATAAATTTTCTGTCCTTGTTGTATCATTTAATATTGCAAAAAATTAGGTAAGATTTTTTAAAGAGAGTTTCAAATATACTTTTAGTGATTTCCGGAAAGTTTAAATTGTCAACAGTATGGATGTGACAAATGAAGTAAGAAGTACTCCAACGTTTAATGATGATGATTGGGAAGCAATTTTTGGCACCGAAGACGAAGTAGAAGATGCAAGGGAGCCAAGCCAAAGTAGTGGACTAGATGCGAAGAAGCCAAGGCAGAATGATAAGTCTGATAATTTAGCCGAATTGGTACTTACAGTGAATTCTGAAATCTCAACAGTTTATTCTTGGCGGTAAGCAATTTCATGTATGCCTAACTTCAATTATATTCAAAGAAAACATCGAATAAAATGCTCTAAAATTTAAGAATGCTCCATAAATTTTTTCCTTTTATAACTCTCAGATCTGCAAAATATAGAATCGAAATCTTTGTAAAATGTAGTGATATTATTTAATGTCTTCGAATTAGAGGAATTTTATTTATTTCAGAGCTGCTTGTACCTCAGCGAATTCCATATCCGTTGGTCATTCAAAGATACCTTCTTCAGTTTCAGTAACGCCGGTTGCGGTATATTCTGAGATGCAAGCTCAGGATCCTTTATTAAGTATTCATTTCTTAGTTATCACATTATTATCTGCCACTCTATTTCTAATTTATCAAATATTCAGTTTTGTTCGTGTTAAATTGCAGACAATGATTGGAAAATTAAAAGCAAAGTCTGTGTCTCACTAATACGCATAATGATTTTTGAAATTGTATGAAATGGTTCCATTAGCTGTTTAGCTGGCTTAGCTACAAAGAAAGAGTCATTTAAGTTTTCATTTCCTAGTAATCACACTGTTATCTGCCACTCTATTTCTAATTATCTTAATGAGTAAGTTAGCTTCATTTCCATAACCTTCACTTTTGTAATTATCATAGGGGAAACTATCTATCTATTCGTTCATCACTATTTATGCTAAACATGTAGAATTTTGCTATCTAAATAAGATGTATGACGAGATGAAAAAGATGTTCATCATACGAGCATGCTAAATTATAAATATTTGAGAGCATATCATTTGTCATAATTGTAAACGAATTAAACGACAATTGATAAGTTGATCATGTTGCAGTGATTATAATGAATTTATGCATGAAACGAGAACAGAAACTCCGCACCGAAGGTAGCATCGCGGAAGCGAATGCGTTGAGTACCATTAGTTTTCCTGTTACGAAGCTGATTGCAAAAGGGATGGAATTGTTGCGATCAAATGGTTCCTCTCCGTTATTGATATGTAGAATATATAAATTCTCGAATAGAAATTAGATAAGTTATTGTAGAAATGAAATTTTCGCTTAGCTACTTATTTAGAATTATTGCACTGAGTTCAAATTGCAAAAATATTTTTAATGTTTAGAGTGCATGCATGTTGGAAGTTTGATATTAGAAGCAGTAAAAACATCAATGAATGAAGGATCGGTTGAATGGGAAAGTTTGATATTATGTGCGGAAAGCATTTATGCATTGGTCGATGAAGTACGGATGAAAAGCGCTGATTTGAATACGAAACAGCAGGAAATGATAAATAAAGCGGAAAAGAAGTTCGATAAAGAAAAGCACATAACAAAGGTTTGTTTGTCAGATTTATGTCACTTTTGCTTTTCAGTTAGTACAGTTAAATGAATTTTTATGACCTACAAGCTGTACATTCACTTCCTTTTCTAGAAGAATTTCGACAATAAGATAGTATTTGTTGTAGTTACTTAGTCGTCGACTAAGTCCACATGGGAATCTATTCCTTATATTGTTGGTTTTCTTGACAAATGTATCATTTTATTGTTTAGTTGGCGAATGAAAGAAAAAAACGAAAATTGGAAGCTATGTATGAAAAAAAACAGGAGGAAGCTAACGAAAAGCGTAAATGTCGTGTGGCGCAACAAGCTGAATCACAATCAATTTTCCATCCTCAAATAACCAGTCAAGCAGAACATTATATGGAAGCTCCCAATGTAACTATTAAAGAAGTTACTGTTAGACTTGCTTGAAAATTATCGTATATCTAATTTTCTTCCTTATTGCTGTTGTATACCATTACGTGATACTTTCGCTTTATGCAAATTTGAATAAATGTAAGGATGTATTCTTATAAATTGTTCGTTTTCACACTTTCCCTTCATTATCAATCCCTTTTTTTCAATGGCTATTTCCAGGGAGGTGCAAATGCCATATTAATAATGGCTGCGAATAAATTCAGAATTCGTAAGGATGAACGACGAAGGCAAAAAGTTAAAGGAAAATCCCAAATCAATGAAGAACGGACATGTTTACTTCAGTCAAATGTTTCAGATCCCAGTCTTCAAGGTTCTAATGAAAGTTCATCATAACAGTTACCTGTCCTTTTTAATCAATTGCAACAAATACAGCTTTAGCAACAAAATGGTGCAACTTTCCTACCATAGTTCCATAAGTTTAATGTTTCAGTTTTCCTTTTTTATATTGGATTTGAAATGGATTGGTGGATGTTGTGTTAAACATCTAAAAACTCGTGTGTCCTTTAAATAATTTGAACATGGTAGTGAAGTAGCACCAGTTTGACGTTTGTGAAATAAGCTTAAAAGACGTTCTGGAGCAGTAATTGGCAACCCTGATATTGCTAGCATCGCATCAGATTTCAATCTCAAAAAAATTGGATTTATATTATGAATTTGGATGAATATTTTAGCCTTGCCTAACTTAGCTGATGATAAGAGCTTCACTGGCCCAATAAATGCGGAAGTTTTAATGGAGGAATATGCAGAATCTGATCTAATCAACTCAGTCACTTTACCAACATTTCTGGTTTGTTCCGAATTTTTATTTATACCAATAATTTTTAGCGTTAGAGTAAGTCTTTCACTTTTTTCCATATTTGATTTATTTTAATCGCAGATAGAATGAAGCAAATCACAGCAGCTTAAGATGACTAACAACTGTTGCTTATGCTTCATTTTACTTTTTGAAATGTCATTCCATGTTGAAGATTTTAAGAATAAGAAGAATTTTTAATCATACACTACCAAGAGAATATTATTATAGATGCAAGAAGATGCTAATTATTACTGTGTGCAACGTCCAGATTTTTTTGCTTCAGAGAGAGCAGCTACGGAGTTTCACATGTCAAGTCATATTCGAAATGATGTTAGTAATTTCTTTATTCAATGTGTTTGTTATATAATTCTTTGTTTTCAACCGTATTTATTATTTAATTTTTGAATTTTTTAAGGAACTAATCTCATCGCGGTTTGGTTAACTCTTTCTTAAATCTTCTCTTTTACAGTGGCTATAATTGGACTTTTCATGAGTCACTGTCGATTGCTTTGTAGCATTCTTTTGAATCGAGTAACTTTCGAAAATCATTGTATTTCTGCTATTTATTCATTATTGAAATTAGCAAAAATCTTTCTTGTGTGAAAAGATTTTCAGTTTTGACAGAATCGTCAGCTTAATATGAAACTTTATTTTATGAACTGAAACTAAAATTTGATTTACCTTTTTTGCGGAATTATGATTTTTTCTGTGTCAAAGATAAAAGCTGGAATTATGGTTTTTTTTTCAAAGATTTTTGTTACATTTAAAAAATGCACTAAAGTCTTACAAATTCAAGGAATGTATCATTCTTTCCATCTGAAAGACTTGCTTTTTTTCCAGCTTCCTGCAATTGGGGAAGTTGTCTGTTCGGGACTCATGAATAATATTCCGAATCAGTCAGTGACATCTTTGTATCCGTCAACTGCTATCAAAATCTCGAATCCGCCTCAGTTGGACATCAGTTCTGCAAGTGCTGCAAATCTAGTTAGAGAGAAGTAAATCCTGAAATAGCTTATTAGAACTTCTTAGCGGTGCTTCATAGATATGCATCTGAATGTTTGATATTTTTTTCAGGTTCTACTTTTATATTCCCGAGAAAAATTTTCTTTTTAGTTTTAATTATTATGCACATGTAATTAAAAATTTATGAATCCTTCGCAGCTTTAGAGTATTTCTCTTTAGTATGCAATACTAAGTGATTTTCCCGTGTATTTAAAATTTATGTTTTTTCTTAGATATATAAGACTTTCTTTTACATTTAATTTAAGGACGTGTTTTAGAAATGTATTTTTTGTTGCCGAGAACAAATATCCTGTAGTCGAGTTATCGAATAGTCCAGATTCAACAATGGTAGGTTTCTCCAAATTATGAGTTCTGTTGCTAAATTTTTTGGGGACTCTGCAATCTCTTTCAAATTCTCGTCAGGATATTGTGGATATTATTGGATTTCGTGATTATCGCAAGAAATACCGAGAAAGATCAATGACTATGCCAGAGATGAGTGATTGAAATATTTTTTCTACAGAAACTTCATGTTTGACGGTTTATAAACATATTTAAAATTACATATAAATTCTTAGGGCTTGTAACGACTAAAAAAGAAAAAAAAATTCTCTTTTACTGATTATTTCGTTATTTGTCCTTCATTTGCCGAAAAAAATAAATCACTGAATAGCGAGTTAGAAGATGAGCTATAGAATCTTTATGCGAAGGCTTTGATCGGAAGCATCTCCGGCAAGTTATGATTAATCATACTTGAAACAAACGAACAAGATCCTTATACGTTGATGGTCTCAGTGCTTTGCTGAATTTATCAAAAAGCATTTTTTAAGTTGCTGAAATTTTGAAATTGCATAAAGGAATAATTCTAAGATTCTTATTTCATAGTATTTTAGAGAGAGAAAAAAAAGGAAATGGAGAAATTGCCTTCTCGTGAATACGACTTCTTCGTAAGTTTGTTAACTTATAAAATAAAAGTATCTTGAGAAAAATACGAACCTTCCAGAATGAATAATCATAATTGGGCTTTAGATATTCATGGAATATTGGTGTTTTGAGGATTTTTTTTTGTGGGAAGGAGGAGAGCGTGATGGTCATTTCCGAAATGTTTCTTCATTACTGGTACAGAAAGTTATCAATGTCTGGAAATATTATATAATGTAGAATTCTCGAAATTACTTTGAACCTGTTGCTTGTATTGCATGAATGATGTTAGGAGAAATAACATATTTTGAAAGTTTATTTTACGAAATATCATTTCCCTCTATTCATTTAGCCTAGCTTATTTATAGCTTGAACCAAATATGTGGCGACCAATTGGTAGCATCAATGCTCGTTCTTTCTGTGAAAGCTGCGAATTTACACGTGGAGACATACGTAATTGGTAGGTTTTCATGTCTTTATGAAGAATGTTTTTTTTTTTCTCGTAGCAGTTTAAATCTCATCCCTCTTCTCTTTTTTTCAGGCTCATTGTTGGTTCAAGATTTGATCGCTTGAATGGAAGTATCTTCAATATCAAGAAAAGTGGTTGTCCGAAAACTCATCTATCTCGTGTCAAATACCCTCCAGTTCATTTCAGGTTTTTTTCGTTATTTTGTGGAATTGACGAATACTTAAATATTTTATTTTCGGAGATCAATTTTTTTCTGCATGCAATTATTGGTGCACTTATCATAGACTGTCGGTCGATAAATTAAATTTATATTTTAATTGAAATTGTTGAGTTTAGATTAATATATGATGCTCTAACAAGTATTTCTATCAAAATTGCTGGTCTAAAGATTTTCTTGGCTATTGGTGAAGATTGGATTGTGAAAAAGTCAATAATGCCTGAAGAGTTTACATCATTTATAACAAAATTTGCCGTAAGGATCGTTTTGCTTGTTTTATACTTTGCAAAATTTACCCAGAAGTTCTGTTTGAATAATGCTATATTAGTTCTTCAGATAAATCATGCTCATTTCCCACTGTTTTACTTACCTTTAGATAATTCTAGATGTGCTCATTGTAATTTGAAAATTTGGAAATTCTCCAATACCTATATCGTTTTAAGACACTTGGCGCTTAGTTAAATTATCCTTTTGTTCAAAATTGTCAAAGCTTTTATTTCTGTATTTTTCAGGATGTTCTACATAAGCTTTATGTCAAACAGTACGAAGTAGAACATACAAAAAAAGTAAAATTAACGGAAGGTTTAAAAAAGCAGAAGAGAGCTTATGACTATGTCGAAAGTGGTTATGCCTATGTTGAAATGCCAACTATTATATTACTCACTATTCCTGCAGTAAGTTTTTCAAGTTCAATAACTTACGATTAGAGAATGGCTTATAAGAGAAAAAAAGAATACACCAAAAAATGGTATTGTAATCAAAGGAATGTTTGATAAGTACACATACCTGTACTTTTAGAGCAATGATCCTGATGCAGAAACGAAATGTAATTTTTATAACAAAGCAATTCAAGAATTGGTTCAAAATTGGGATTTAACGTGGAAAAGGTACCTTTCTAAAATTTCCACTTTTTTCTCAAATTCATTGAAAGTAATTTTACAAGTTGTGCTTTATATGATAAGTGGATAATAGATTACATACTCTAGCCTCCTGATATGAGACGCATATTTGCCCAATTTTTTAATTTTCAATTTTAAAACTAGCTTGTCTTATTTAGAGATTTCTTTAGGTAAACATACCATTTCAAAAAACAAGAAAACAAAAAACTTGCTCATTTTAGTCCCTACTATCACGATGCTACAAGACAGTGCATAGAATTGAAATTAATTGATTGGCGACAAATGTGTATTGATGAAAACGCAAACAATAACAACGACATGATTATCATTTTAATGAAGCATTTAATGGAAGAATGGGGTGTATGCATGACACCAATGAATCGTTCTTAATTTGTTGCATTTCAGTTTCTCTGCTTTTATTGCGATCTCTTTTTAATTTAATGTGATCTCTATAGCGATAAGTTTCTTTTGTTAGCTATAATTTTATTTAATTTCATAGAAGCAAACATTTGATTTCAGGTTTATGATTGGTGAAAAATTATGTGTTAAATGTTTCATTTGACTTTCATTTTATACTTAATACAATCAAAAATGGCACTTAAAATATTCCATGTCGTCATGATAGTAATTAAATGGTTTTGTATTTGTGCTTGAATATCTTGCGGTTTTCATTTAAAAATTAACGGGATATTTGGTTGAATGTTTTGCATTTCTGTATTTCATTGAAAAAAATTTCAATATTTCGGTCGCGCAACCGTTTCGTAATGCGCTAGTGGTAAAAGTCAATCAATTTGATATATTTTATTTTAAACTATGAACGCTTAATTTTAAAATGCCAATGATAAACAAATGGATGTGAACAGGAATGATTATGAAATAGTTTCTGAAATTCTGCAAAGAACAGTAGAATTTTTTTTTGCGAAGGTACTTGATCTTTTCAATCAGTTCTTTAATAATGCCATTATTATTTACCTTTGTCATTTCTATATTTCTAGCATTAGTTTATATTTTTAAATAGATAATTTTTTTTTATTTTAAAGTAATTTCATTCTTGTCGAGTATTGGATTGAAAACTACGAAAATTGCCAATTTTTTTATTATATATCAGTATATCATTTAAAATCAATGTCCTAAACTTAATAATCTCCCTTTGTGATTTCAAGATGCAACTCTGAGTGTGTTTTAAATTTTTAAATTCGATACTAAAAAAATTTTTTAAAATAATTTTGAATGACGAACATTGGTGAGAAGAAGAGATATGTAATGAGATGTGGGAGAGAAAATTACGCTTGACATTGAACATTATTTTATTCTGTCATCATTGAAGTTGTTTCTTTTTCCACTGAGACAATTAGGAGTTGAAATTATTTGCATCATTAAGTTATGCGGCAAATATTCACATTCATTATCATCTGTCCACGGCTGCAGCCAAGATTTGTTGAACATTCGATAATCAACTGTGAAATCATTGTCATTTAAATTATACAGTGAGATGATTTATGATAGTTGATTTTCTTGTCATCGTTTATTTCATGATGATACAATATCATTTTTGGCTTGTTTAATCCTTTTGAAATATTCGTTTGATCATAACTTCTATATAAGTGATCGATAGTTTCATGTTACAATGAAACATTGCGGTAAAAATTTCAATTCTTCTATTCTTGACCGTATTAGTTTCATCATATTATACAAATTAGTTTTAAACTAATTCAAATCATTTCCCTTACATTCACATAATGAAGTTTTGCATTTTTGGATTGATTTCTTTCTTTTTCACCTCAGACACTAATATGAACGAATTTTCTACCTACAACGATTATCTTAAAAAATTCGTTTATATTGGTATCTGAGGTAAATCATATAGAAATATTTTATCGGTGAAAAGTACCGAAAATCGTTAATCATTTAGTTCTAGCATCAAGTAATCAGAACATTATAATAGAAATTGACTGATTTCTATTGTTTCTCTCTTGTTTCTCTCTTGCATGGAAAGTAGAAAATGGAAGATGATTAGATTTAATGAAATAAGAGAAAGGAAATTCCTAACTTGCAAGGAAGTATTGATCAAATTATCAACGACATTTGAATGATGACAGTAACCTGGAATAGATTAATTGATAAAACAGTTTAAAAGAGAAAATTCTGAATATGAACAGACAGGAGAGGGATGAAGAAAAAAAAAAACAGAACTTGTTGTTTGTAGAAATGATAGACACAACTGTCATTAATAATGTCTTCGATAAAAAGAAAAGAAAAAGATATACAAAAAAAATAGTCGAAAATATGTTCTGTCTGAGCAAATATTACGTTTAATCGTCAATTAGTAAATCATTATCATTATTGTTAATGGGCAAATCGTTGTCACAGTCATATGCAATGTTTTTATCAACATACTCGAATAAAAAGTTCGATAAATAAAATGATCAACTGCTTTTAACACGTGATTTATGATATCATTAAGTAATTGACAAATCGCTGTCAGAATGCTTTTTTTTTTACTAGACATAATTATTACAAGCGAAAACTTTTCAACTATAAAAT